CCGGGGCCCGCCGCCTCTCCGCCCTGCTGGGCAGGGGCACCGGTGGGTGCGGGGACAAGGGGCCACCAAGGGTCGCCCTCCCCAAGAGCCTCCCAGCCAGCCCCCGCCGGGAGCTGGCAGTCCCCATGCCACCAGCACCCTGGGTCTGGGGCCCTGTTGCAGCAGCGTTCGCCCTGCTCCCCCCGCCTTATCCCCAGATTCAGGGTCCTGGTTGGTTCTCCTGCCACCCTGTTGTCTTCTACAGATTTGGGGTGCCCCATTGCACCAGCACCCATCCCATCCCACTCCATCCCACTCCATCCCACTCCATCCCATCCCATCCCATCCCATCCCATCCCATCCCATCCCATCCCATCCCATCCCATCCCATCCCCCGCATCCTATCCCATCCCATCCCCATCCCCATCCCAACCTATCCCATCCCATCCCCATCCCATCCCCATCCCATCCGAATCCCCTTCCCATCCCCATCCCATCCGAATCCCCTCCCATACCCATCCCATCTCCATCCCCTTCCATCCACATCCAATCCCATCCCATCCCATCCGAAACCCATCCCATTCCAACCCGTTTTATCCCAATCCCCATCCCATCCCACCCCCACCCCATCCCAATCTGATCCTCATCCCAATCCCCACCCAATCCCATCCCCATCCCATCCCATCCACATCCTATCCCAACCCATTTTATCTCAATCCCCATCCCTATCCCATCCCCATCCCATCTCCATCCCCATCTCCATCCCCATCCCATCCCATCCAAATCCCATCCCATTCTATCTCATCTCAATCCCCATCCCCTTCCCATCTCAATCCCCATCCCCTTCCATCCCATCCCATTCCATCCCATCCCATCCCGTCCCATCCCATTCCATTCCAATCCCATCCCATCCTGACCCCATCCCATCCCATCCCATCCCATCCTGACCCCACCCCATCCCATCCCACCCCATCCCATCCCATCCCCATCCCATCCCCATCCCCGCCCAGTTTCTGCCTGGGGTTTGAGGCGCTGCTTGCACGAGCACCCATCCCCCATCTCCCTACATTCGGGCTCCCCATCACACCAGCACCCACCCCACCCCATCCCATTTCTCCCCCCAATTCTGGGTGCCCGCTGTGCCAGCCCCCCTCCCACGCCCCCCCCAA